ACTGTGTCCTTCTGTGGATCAGAAAGAAGTGCCTTCTCTCGGTGGACACACTCCTAAGGATTCATAGCTTGATAAGGGGGAAGCACCTTTGTGCAAAGAAAAAGTTCCTCTTCCTCAAAGTGAATGCCCTAATTTGCCCTCTTGGTTGGGCATTCCTTATGTAGTGTATGGACTGTAAAACTTTGGTGACCTTGCATGAGGAAGGAGTTTTAGTGAAACCAGTTTCTACAGTTGTGATTTTTTTTGGTATTCCCCAGCAGTCTGGATGTACTAATGGAGAAGGCAAATTAATTGACTCTAGGTTGGAGTTTTGACATGTAAGTATGGTAAAATCAATCACAAGGAGACTAGACAGATAATAACACTGGCGAGTTCCATGGGTAGTGGGATCTAGGATGGATAGCAAAGGAAGACATGGCAGACGTTGATTATCCATCCCTCTTCTTCTACGTAAATTGAATCACCATTTTATCCAGATGTTGGGCAGCAATGCAGTAAAGGAAGGTGGATCCAATTCAAGCAGTGTGTCACAATTAATTTAAACCAATCATGGTAGTCACATTCCTCCATGTCAGTGTTAGGGGTGGGATGAGACCTAGTTCTAGCCAAAGAGATATAAAGGAAAGTTTGATAGTAACATCTGAAAAAAAGTTTTCCTTTAAGCAAAGATGCACAGAATAAACACTCATTTTTCCTTCCTTTAGATGTGGCCTTATGAAGGAGTGATGCTTAGAGTTGTGGCAGCCATTTTATGATCATGAGGGGACAAACTTGAGGTCAAAGCCTACATAATGAGGAAATCAAAGAACCAAAGAACCTTGGTCCTCAATGACATTATTAAAGATAGAAGAGTTATTATCATTCTTTTCTTTCTGAAATTTCTCCTTTGTCTTCTCAGAGATCAAGTTTTCCTTTATCACCACTCCTGGTTTTTATTTGTTACTTCTTTTTTACTTCTCTTCCGGAGTTTGGTCACAGCTCTCTGGTTTTCTTCATTTTTTTTTTCTTTCTAGTGATTTTCAACAGGGGGGATATAGAAAGAGCATATTAAATATTACTTATACTTAAAAAATCCTTTTTTAGTATTTTTAAAACAGCCTTATCGAGCTATAATTCCCATACCATATGGTTATTTAAAGCATACAATTGAATAGTTTTTAGTCTACCCACAGAGCTGTGCAATCATGACCACAATCAATTTTAGAAAATTTTTATCACCCCAAAAAGAAACCTCATACTTATAAGAAGTCACTCTTTATTCCTTTCAGCCGTGGTAAACCAATACTCTACTTTCTGTCTCCATAGATTTACCTGTTCTGGACATTTCATATAAATGGAATCATAGAATATGTAATCTTTTGTGAATAGCTTCTTTCATTTAACATAATGTTTTTAAGGTTAATCCATGTTGCAGCATGTTATCAATAAACTTTTGGTTTTATAATACAGACTACTGAAAAGCAAACCTTGCCAAACTATTTTGGCTGATGAGAATACATAAAACATGTGCTATAGGAAGGCATACTAGTTTCTCAGTTATGAGACTTGAACATCAAAATGAAGCACAGTTTCAAACTATTTATTGAGGACCTACTATTTGCCACAATTAACTATTAATCACAAATGGATGACTCTCTAATTGCTATATCCTTTTCTAAACTATTAGGCACCAAAATTACATTTGCAACTACACACCTCCACTTGGCTATCCAGGGGTTGGCACCTTGAACTCAACTCTCCCTCTTCCAAAGTCTTCCCTATTTTTGCTAATGATAGAATTCACCCAGTCTCAAAAAGCTCAACCTTTAACTCCTCCTTTTGCTTCCATATCCAATGAATTCTCTCTCTGAACTATTTCTTCTGTTTTAGCGTTCCAATATTGCCGTGGGTTGAATTGCGTCACCTCAAACAAGATATGCTGAAGTACCTCAGGTAACCCCCCTGTACCTCAGAATGTGACCTTATTTGGAAATAGAGTTGTTGCAGATTAGTAAGGATGAGGTCATACTGGAGTATGGCAGGCCCCTAATCCAGTATGACTGGTGACCTTTGGAAAAGAACACCATGTGAAGAGACAGAGATATAGGGAGAATGCCACGTGAAGATGGAAGCAGAGATTGGAGTTATGTATCATAAGCCAAGAAATGCTGAAGATTTCTAGCTTTCACCAGAAGCTAGGAGAGAGCCATTGAACAAATTCTTCACAGCCTGCACAAGGAACCAACTCTGATGACACCTCCATTTCACACACAGCCTACAGAACTGTGAGATAAATATTTGTTGTTTTAATCCACCCATTTGTGGTACTTTGCAGAAGCCCTAGGACACTAATACAAATACTAAATGACTTCAGAATAGTTTACGCATTCATTGTATCATACATCCTAAACCTGTTTTTCATCTTTTCATCTACTATCCTAGACCAAGCCATTATTTCTTACATAGGCAGTGTAATGGCCTCCTAACAGTCTCTCTGCTTCCATATTTGTATCCCTATAATCCATTTGCCACAGAGAGAATATTTTAAAAATGTAAATCAGATTATATCAGTTTGCTGCTCAAAACCCTCCAAAGCATCCTATCACACTTGAATTAAAGGGCCTGTATGCTCTAACAGCTGCCTAGCTCTCACACCTTACTACCTGGCATTCTCCTTCCTACTTCACACCAGGTACACTAAATTTCTTTCCTGTTCTGTGACTAAATCAACTCATTCCCCCACTGCACAAACTCTTTACTTGGAATGCTCTTCCTCTCATGGCTTGTTCAATAGTGAACAAGACAGAATAGGTCCCTGCTCTCTTGGAGTTTATGTTCTAAAGGGGGAGATCAACAAGTAAAAGATAAAAAGAAAAACCTAAATTTTTTTAACTGTTGCAGAGGAGAGAATGTGCTGTAATGGAGGATATTGAGGAATCTACCATATTTAGATAGTGGAATCAGGCTTCTCAGCAATGAGTTGACATTTATACTGAGACCTCAATGAACGCTGGAAGGAACCAGCCATGTAGAACTCAGGGAGGAGAATTCCCAACAAAGAGAAGGGCAAGTAAAAGTGTCAGATGCTACAAAGTGCTCAATGAGTTCCAAGAAAGTCTGTGTGACTACAGAACAGTAAAGCCAGATGAGATGAGATAAGTGGTGGAAAGGTAGTCAGAGACCAGATTACACAGGCCTTGCTGGGAATGATAAGGAGTTTATATTTAACTTCAAGTGAAGCGGCATATCACTTAAGTTGTATGATTTATTCCTGCGGAGAGCCTTACTAGTCAAATGGTGTCCCCAACCAGCAGCAGTATCACCTCTGAGCTTGTGAAAATTGCAGAATCTGAGGCACCACCCCAAAACTGAATAAGAGTCTGTACCTCTAACAAGATCCCCAAGTGATGCGTATAAACAGTAAAAGCTTGAGAAAAACTAGAGAACGGATTAGGAGTGAGAAACAGTAGGCGAGGGGAAACCAGTTAGCTATGCTGGTCCAAGCGAGAGAGGAAGGCTGCCTGTATAAGTGTGACAGCAGAAAGAATGAGAAGACCGACTTAGGGTATGCTGCAGAGAAGCCGGTTTAGGTCTCCTAGCTAAATGGAGATTTCAGTAGGCAAGTAGCCATACGAACCTGGATTTCTGAAAGGTTTAGGATTGGACACACAGTTCTGTGGGTTGACTGGATATCCTGCTTCTGAGTTTCAACGTCTGCATGTTCATGGAACACGCAACGTTTCCATCTGCATGGAAAATAAGATATGCCTTTCTGAAGCTTGTCCAACTCTTTCACTCTGAGGTCCTCTGTTACAGGATATTTTTCATCAAGTTTTTATTAACCCTTTTACAAAAAATGTTATAAAATTCAAGGCCAATGCTGATTAACACACTTCCTTCTCCCTAGCCCCTAGGATTCTCCACACCCGGGTCTTAACTGGGACCGATACCTCAAGCCTCTCCAGTTTCTAGGTACAAGGCAGCTTGGAAACTCCTGGGTTGGTGGGTCCAATTCTCTCGGTGTACCATTCTATATTCTGAAAAAGAGATTGTTGAGCTAGAAGGCAGTTAATGGGAATAAAAGAATATGAGGAAGTTGCCAAGTGGGGAAGACTAATACTTAGAGTCCTCCATTCTTCAGCCAAGAGGAAGATTTCTTGCCGTTATCACTTCTTTAGTAAGCAGCACAACTGAATTGCAACTTAATGTTCTTCCCTATACCGTTTGTCTCATCAAGCATAGAATAATGGTTGAAAAGTTTGTTACAATTATAAAGAAAGGCAAGAAGGCCATTTTCTTTCTTTTTATTCTGAGGCATGGGGAATGGAAAATTTTCTTGCCATGGTTTCAATTTTCGGCCTTGGGTAACCCAGAGAATAGTACCAGAACACCAGGGAATCCGTGGGACAATTCCAGGACGATTCCTGCCTCTTTGGGTTAAATTCACGAGACAGGGAAACCTAGAAAGATCAGGTTAGGAAGCGGTCTTAACATTTTCAACGGTATTACTATATCCACACTTGACTGCTCCTCTCACCGGGAATTTACTCGATCTGTCCGAAACCCTGCCCTAACAACGAGAAATTCTCAGAACTTGGAGAGGAAAGGTCCCGTCCAAGAAAACCACAGTACAGCCACTTGCAGGGGATGCCGCCAGCGCGATTTGTTTAGGGAGGAAAGCGGGGGTCTGCGCGGGAGCGAGCGCTCGGCTGAGCGGGGTCGGCTGCGGCGCCGCCCCGGGGGAGGCGCGGGCGCG